TGTGTTGATCATCACTCACTCACTCATTCACACTCACTCACTTTTTCACTCTTTTGATGATTATGTAACTAACTTAATAATTTATTTATTTAATATTTAGAATTACAAAGACAAGATATACAAACCAATAGTTATATTAGTTGTTGACATGGTTTGTCTTTGTATCTTGGCCGGACTCTATGCTGTTTATAAGTCGGTGAGCAACTTTAGATGTGTTTGGTGCATGATCAAGAAGGGTGACATGGCTCGCATCCTTGTGCCAGCGGTCGACCCAGAGGGCGCACGACCAAGAGTAATCCCTCAACGGAAGCCAACAGGACCGGCGAGGACCAACGGTGGATACAACAACGATCCATTGATCACATGTATCCCAACGAGTCATATGGTACCAGATCTTCTCCATGTCCTGGTTGCTGTCGTCAGAACCTTTGTCAAACATCATTTCAAATGGCTTGAGACATGGCTGAACATTGAGGTGGATGGTAACAGAGTTGGTAAGCGAGTGAAGGATATGCTGTTGGCAGTCATGGCTCGGCTTGGTCCCAAGATACCTCCAAACAGTATGAAGCCAAGTGAGTCCAAACCTACATCGCTCGTTGCCCGTTGGGAATCAACCAGAGTGAAGTTCCAGGCTGCCATTGACATCATCCTTCGTCGAAACGATATGTTCAATATTGAAGACCTGTTGATTGGAGAGACTGAGGTGCTGAGGATCAAGTACCATGAATACAAAGTGCGTGCCCTTGACACCTGGCACATGCTACATCATTTCTTCTCGACCATGATCGATCCTGGAACAGCACCAGCTATACGAACTCAAAACAGACCTGCTGCGCAAGCAACTCCCACTCCTGCTGATCCAACTCCTGCTGCTCCAACTCCTGCTGATCCGACTCCAACTCCTGCTGCTCAATCCCTTCCATTATTCGATAGGGGTGTATGGTATTCCCATGCTTACATATTTGCCAAGTTGTCCATCGAGATCTATGGTCCAAGCATCATCACGTCCTACGTTCATTGCCTCTGCCATCACGTGCCTGAAGCCATATATTTGTTCGGATCGCTTGACCGCCTCATCAACATGGCACCAGAAGGAAGGCACTACGCCAATAAGTTGGTATTGGAACGCAATGCCAACGGTACCATTTATGGCGTAGCGGAGTTGTGTCAAGTGCAGCTGAAGCGCGGTAACGTCATCACGATGGTGTCTTATCAAACAGACCAATACCAGAACCTTCTCAATGGCACCAACTCTCGCAACGTCACCTACAAAGCGAGAATGAACGTGAGAAATCCAAGTGTGTTCGACAAGTACAGAGCAACACATGGCATGACCACAAGCTCGTCGGACAATTCCCACCATCCATGTCCAAGCGACAATGAGGAGGAGTACGACGAGGAGTACAATGATGATATGTATGAACATGGACAGGCTGCCCACCAGAGTGATGACGAGGATGGAGGCGACGAGACGGATGATGAGCCACACTACGAGTCGTACGGTGGTGGTGGTGGTATGGACAACAGTGATGGCGAGCAAACACCGACCGGTACCATTGAACATGCGCATGTTCCAATGATGGAGGATGTGCCACAGTTGCAGGACACATTGATGAACACACACTATTACAATGATGGCGACAAAGTCTATGCGATGTCGATTGAGGTAGACGTTGGAACCTGGTGGCCTGGCACAGTCAAGTCATCTGATTACGATGAGCACAATGAAGTGATGTCGTATGTTGTCAAATTCGATCAAGGAACAGATAGTCAGTTGACTGTACAAGAGAACGTGTGCATTGCCACTGCCTACACTCAACAAGATGACAGCAGGATCGAAGGAGCCGACGTTCTTGTCTTCATCTATGACAATGGAAAGACTGGGCGATTCTACAGAGGAACAGTGGAGAAGTTTAAGCTACAGCGACGCAAGAGGACCTTTGAAGTGTTAATGTTACCTATCGGTAAAGATGGAGTACTTGACAGATTGATGGATGAGTACAACAACATCCAAGATAGGTTATGTGGTCTGTCACGTTCTGGCATCACATTATCCAACGAAGCTGAGGCCAAGTATAACAATGACCTCACAGAGTTGGAAAGACAAATCACAAAGTGCCGCAATAGACAAACACCAAGATATAGAGTTGGCAGAGAGGACACAAGATGGATACATTGGTGCGACAACATGACAAACATATTTATAATTCAATAAATGTGATGTTGATCGATTAACAATGATAATCATTGTATGATATTGATTGATTAGTATGACATAGAGTTCGAGCAATTAAGGGTGAACAATTAGAACACAAGGTGAAATAGTAATGAGAAGGCTTGTATTATGATTATTTGAGTTGGAACGAGTCGAGTTATAATGATCATTCCTTATGAGAGACAGTTGCACTGTCGATAGCTAAAAATGCTGTTACTGATGCTGTTTCGTCTTTCTTGTGTGCTGATAATCTGTATAGTCTACTTGGTATCATATTATATTTAAATATACATATTATATCTATCAGTAAATGAATAATAATGTTTGAACAAACATGTTGAACCTTGTCAAACACTCATTCATTCACTCAATCACTCTCCCACTCACACCCTCACACACACCCACACACACACCGAATCAAAACTTAATGACAAACTTAAGCGGATAATTTGTAGTGACCAACATGTCATGCATGGCAGAGGATAGCAATAGATTGGTGTTTAGTCTAATAATCAAGACGGGCAGTGTCCTCATGCTCGAGACCTTTATCAATATGACTGGCAATCGACTGCTGCCCATTGTCACAGTAAGGGAGCTGGTGGAGGCCATGGGCAAAGGGAGCGAGCAGTTTGTACGCCTGATCCTCCAACATGCATCCTCTGTAGAGACCTCCCCCAGCACATCAATGATGAATATGCCCAACGGTGTGGATGTCAGCATGCTCCGCCTCATCCACGAGGAGTTCAAAATTGGCCACAGGCACAACTTTGTGTGGAAGGTAGCCTTGAGTAGTTGTATCCGCTGCAACATGATGGAGAGTGTGCAATACATCCTGGAGGATCGCAACCCACCGTTGATCTATCTAAATGGTTGGGACCGAGCAGAATATATTCAGCTCCTCTGTGACATCTGCACTTTTGGTCACATCGAGCACTTCCAGGCAATGATTTCACAACGCCCCGAGGTGTGTGATTGCTGCCTCGCGGCAAACTTCCATATCGATTCCGAGCCTGCGGCTCTTCATCTCCATTCCGACTCTTTAGTTTTATACATTTATTTTACTATTAATTAATAATAGTTAATTAGTTAATTAAGTTAAGAGATTTTTAAGACTTTAAAAAAATAATATTCCAAAAGAAATACAAACAAAAATCTCTTAACTTAATTAACTCTCTAACTCTCAAGATTTTCCAAGCGCAAATCCCTATCATCATTCCAGGCGCAAGTGTTCACAATCGTAGAAACAAATACTGGCAGTAGAGCGATAGTTTCATCGTCAGAGTTGTGGTGAGTTCATCGTCAATCAGATGGTTGGAAATAAACGAAAGTAATATAAGAATTATTTTGTTTGGTATAGTTAGAAAGAATGCCAAGAACTCAAGAATTGACAGTTGAGGAGATTGAGAAGAATATCAAAGAACAAAAGGCTTTGCTCAAAAAGGCAAAGGATGAACGATCCAAAATATTATTTGGTACCAATCTAGAGCGCTTTGATTTAGATACATTAGGTGCCTTGGTATTCGATTGCAAAAAAGAGACTGATTGGGAGAAGGTCACCAATTACATACGACAATATTTTGTTAAAATAAATGATTCCATCGGAGTAATCATGTATGATCCAAAACCCTCAAAAGGAAGAGGTAATTTTATAACCCTCAGTTGGGAGGATTGTACAAAAAACTTTTTTCTCAAGGACCATTCAATTACTATTGGAAAGGTAGTTTATTCAACCAAAGATTGGTTTGTAAATAGGGATACCGAGAGATACCACCAGGTATTGGATCCGTCTATTCCTTCAATGACATATATTGAGGACAAGAGTAAATATGTAAATTTATTCACAGGGTTTAGATTCAAAGACAGATCCCAATTTGATGAAAGAATGAAGGATAAAACATTCAAACAAAAGGTGACACAAGGAAAAGAGTTTATCTGGAAGCACGGCAAAGAGGTTTTGTGTTCAAACCAAGAGGATCAATTCAGATTCTTTAAAATGTTGATTGCTGCATTTGTCATTGGTAAAAAAACCCAGGTTATTTTATTCTTAAAGTCCATCCAAGGTGCTGGTAAGAGTCTATGGCTAAAGATTATTAAATTGGCAATGGGAATTAGATTAATTTTGGAAACAAGCAACCCTGGTATTCTCATGCCCAACGAGTTCAATGACGAATTGATTGGGAAGATACTTGGAATATTCGAAGAAATGCCGACCAGTTCAAAGTCTGATTGGGAGAAGCTATCAAACAGTATGAAACATTTTGTAACAGGAGATTCAATTAGGATCAATGTAAAAGGGAAAACACATTTCTTTATTGATAATTTTTTAAATATTATTATTTGTAGTAACAGGGATGCTATCAAATGTGAAGCAGCAGACAGGAGAATTTTTATTACTGATGTTTCTAACCATAGAGTTAAAGATTACCCTTATTTCGATCAATTGGGAAAAATATCTGAAGACCTGGACACTATCGAAGCTTTCTATTGGGAGTGAATGGACATTTATGATCCTGAGTTTGATTTTAGGATTATCCCAGTAAGCAATTATAAAAATGATTTGATTGTGGATAATCTATCGGCAGTTTACAAGTTTGTTAAGGAGGCATATTTATTAAAAAATAAGGACTTAAAATTACCTCTTAAACAATTTTATGAAGAGTATGTTGATTACTGTAACCGACATAAACTAAATGTTCAATCAAAAATCAAAGCCAATGAAAAGTTAAATGAGATTGGAATTTCCATCAAATCTGGTACTGCTAATAAACAAATGTTCGATTATAAATTGAGTGCCATTAAAGTAATTTTTGAGAAGAATAATTTCATGTCCAAATATGATGAGCCAGATGAAAAAGAGGACGAGAAAATTATTTTATTAGAAGGGGAAACTGATGATGAGTTCCAAAAGAAGCTGATGGCCCAAAATAAAAAGATGGCCGAGAAACTAGAAGAACAAGAACTGTTGATTAAACAGAATAAAATATTGTTAGAGAGACTGGATGTGAAAGATAAAATTATCAATGGCCTTAAGACGGTCATGAAATTTAAATCTGGAATCCCCTTGTGCTACAGCGGAGAGGAGGAATCTAAACCTATAAAAAGCAAATCAATTAGAAATCGATCCATTCCAATGTTTGGTGATTCAGATGATGAAAGTGATAACGAGCCATCTGAATGTATTGAGACCAGCTCAGATGTCAGCTCAGATGATGAAGAGATTATGGATTTTTGCCAGTCCATTGCACATAAATATAAATAACAACAATTAATTAATTGTAATTATTTATGTACCTTCTTTGGAGCTGGTTTCCTTTTCTCATTAGCCAAAACATTCCATCTCTTTGCCTTTGGATCATCCTTTGGTGGTACATCATCTTTTTTTTTCTAGATACAAGGGTCATAGAACCCAGGCCATATTGTCGAGTGTTTTATTTTTGAGAGTGTTAAGGATTGGAAGTTGTTTTTGTGCTATCGAATTATTTAGTGCTTTCGATTGRATTGMGTGTTTTTGTTGMTRAGGATCATTTGGACTCCAACTTGAGGTCTAGTTCGGGTCAGGGAAGCTTGACTTTTCAAAGTACAGTACGTTTCATAAGTTATGGCCACCCCCTGAGCAAACAGATAGGTGATTGATATCTCTTCAATATTAAGAGATACCAAATGATATCTTATCTCTCTAAATAATAGACTCAATTATCTACTAATCTTGATTGAATTACTTATTGCTAGTTATATTTATTTACAAATAATTGAATGAGAGTGTTGAAATGATAAGTAGTGAACATGGCCATTATTTATGCAACGAAAATTGATCGAAGGTATCGGAACGATGAACTAGAATAATGACAAAGGAGGTTGTCAATATTTGGTCCACCATCCATTCGCTGTTATAATGTCCTCCATTCGTTGTGGCAAGGAGGCGTATAGGTTCTCAACAATGCTGTCATCCATTAGCTCCCATTGTTCATTGGCAAGGTCGGAAAGGACCACTCCAGGGTTCTTTGCCAGCTCTCTCTTGACTCTCTTCTTCAAGATCGCCCAAAGATTCTCTATAATGTTGATGTCTGGTGAATATGGGGGAATGAATAGGGTGGGTATCCTCTTCCTTCTCCAGTGGCTGGTGACATTTGTTGCTCTATGAATTGGACAGTTGTCCATCGCCAGTGTAAAGTCTGGGAGTTGGCCATGATAATATCGGATGGATCGAGAGTATGCATCATCAAGAATCTCCGTGTATTGAGTGTTTTCTAAATTGCCTTCAATCTCAGAGAGATATCCGACACCAGCACTCGTGACACATCCCCAGAAATTGACCTTGGTTCCGGGAAGTCTCCTGATGCCATGAACTCGACTGAATGTGTTGTTATCTTGTCTAGCCCACTCGTGTTGACGGTAGTTCTTGATGTTGGACTCAATTGTGGTCTCATCACAGAATACTATCTGTTCCCATTGTTCCGCTGTCCAGTCTCGATGAGCCATAGCGAACTGGAGCCTTTGATCTGCGTTTACTTGCTTTAGATCGTTCTTCCTGCTTAAACTGCGATAGGTGAGACCTTCCTTTGCAGCGATACGAGATATTTGAGCCGTTGATATCTCTGTATCGTATCTCAGTTCAAGTTTGGCTTTCAACTCGTCCAAAGTGATGACCTCCTTCCTGACCAAAGCTTTGATGATCCTCCTTCTAAGTCTTCTTGAAAACTTTGAAGGGCGTCCCGATTTGAGACGGTCCTTGAAGTCTCCTCGCTCGCTGTGTCGTTGAATAGTCCTGCTCACAGTTGATCGGGAAATATTGTACATCTTTGATATTAATTTCTTTGAATATCCTCTCCTTCTGGCTCTCACGATTTTAGCTCTCTCTTCTTCTGTTAATGACATGATTAATTGTAATGTACATAAATAATATTCTATCTCTTCCAACAAAGTGTTTGATGTTTGAACTCATTCATTCTTTACTATTGCATAAATAATGGACATGTTCATTACTTTAACAAAAATATCGTTTGAATGATAAAGATATATTAATTCCATTTTTGGAAAAATATTCATAAATGGAAATTTTTGAGCAAAAGTGGACTACTATATTTGGAAGTGAATAAGAATCTTGAACCATATTTGTAGGAGATATCAAACTCGTACCTGTTTGAACAGGGGGTGGCCATAACTTATGAAACATACTGTACCAAATAATATATAGAATGTACGCAGTACCAGTTTCTCATCGAAGAGCAGCGCTGATTGATGCTTATCAAGGTGGACATCATCAAAGATACACAAGTTTGGGAGGTCAACCATCACCATTTGGCCATCATCCTGGAATGCATGGAGATGGATTCTTTGATTGGATTAAGAAGGCCCATAATGCTATTAAAGAACACAAATTTATTAGTAGAGCAGCAAAAGCATTAGATGTTGCAGGGGTTCCTTTTGCAGGTACCGTTGGCACTGCTGCTGAAGCAATGGGTTATGGAAAACCTAGACGTAGAAGACAAACAGGAGGTACCTCATATGGAATTGATGGAGGACGTAAAAGAAAGGCCAAAACAGGAGGAAAGAGGAAGAGTAAGAAATAGATAAATTAGCCCAATGGGCTTAATTATCTAACAAATAAGAAACTGTTGTTGGGAGGACTACAATCACTTGATCATTTGTTTTAATCGATGAACCATCCTGTGCCGTGATAAAAAAGGATCCATAAAGTGTGAACATCCTTGCAGGAATTGGAACATTTATTTGATAGAATCCTGGCATTGTAGCATTTCCCCAGAGTTTAAAAGGGACAAAAGAAGCAGATCTAATAAAATCATTTGATGTTGTAGTTGGAAATGTTACTTCAGAGAATGTAAAAGTTACAAGGTTACCAATTCTTTGGACAATAGCACTACCTTCTGCAAGTACGTCTCCATATCCCCATTGGAAATAAAATTTATCAAACTCATAATTAATTAAAGGTAATGATCCCAAACCAAGAACAATTCCATCTTTAAAAGTTTTGGTTCCATTTATTATTTGATCAGTCTCTGAAATAATAATATTTGCATGTGGAGAATGAGTAGGAAGATTTATTATTGATTGATTGTCTGTCTGGACATT